TCACAATAACTTTTATTTAATTTTACCAGATAAAGTTGTAATACTCAAAAAAGAATTCGTTTAAGTTGGTTTAAGCCTCAGATCCTTTTGGGAATGAGGTGCAGGGTATAAATAAATTCAGCCATATAAGTATGACATTCTAAATAATTTTACTGATTAAGACATTGGAATGAATTCGTCCCCTTTACATACTTTACAGATTTCTTTAAAACATAGAAAATATGCATAGTTATGACTAGAAATAGCTAATATTGAACCTACAGAGTTTAGTATCTCAATAGCATAATTTGTAATTATAACCTATTCTGATTTCTTTTCAAATATTAGGTGTCCTAGTTGCCTATGAAGGTTTGCCACTTCATCTTGCACTGTTCCCCAAACTTTGGACTGAGCTATGCCAGACTCAGGTAAAGAAAATGAGTTTTAGATGATTTGGTCTTTCATCTCATCTTACCAAGTGGTCAATAATTTTGGGAACAATGGGTTGAAGACTGGCTAAAAATTGGGGATGTTTTAGGGAATCTTGATAGATAAAAATGATTAAGGGAAATATTAGCTATTAAACATTGAGCATGTAGTTTCCCTTTGAGGTTTTTTTACTTCAGTGGATTTGTATCACAGAGACTATTTCAAATACACTGGTTATAATTGAATTTCCCATTTATAGGCCAGTGTCAACAGTTACGGGAAAAATCCAAAACAGGGAGGTACTGGGGGAAGACACACGCTGCTTCTAGCTCTCCATCTTCCCCCGTCCGTCTCTTCCTTTTCTCTGCCATTCCAGGAGCTATATAGCAGGAACCCTGTTGGTAGTGTGTCCTTTAGCTCTTCCTGGTTTGTAGATTTTCAAGAGTCTGATGCACTTGTTCTTAACAATCTCCTTGAAAACAGGAAAGACTACCCTTCCTACCTTAAGTATCTAAGAGCCTACGCCTTAAAATGAAGTGGGCACATAAATAATGCTTGTTAAATTGTAGAGAGAGAACTGGGAAGAGAGGAGGAGAAACCACATCAGTCCTAAGGTTTGGCTCATTCCTCTGCTCAGGCAGAAAGGATTCCCACTCCCTTTTAAACCCTGAAATAACTGTTGTTTTGCTGCCTGGTTGTATTTGCTCTACCCCAGAGGAAGAAATGAGCTAACCTTCCCTGGGCACAAACCTTTACCCACATTATAGTTTCTGAAGTACTTTGAATCTGGTGCAGCCTCCTACCCGCAGTAGCTCTCTGTATTCCACTAGATGTTCATCGCACTGCACTGTAGTGGTGGTTTATCTCCTTTTCCCAAAAGGTGAGTTCCTCAAGTATAGAGACCTTATCTGAGTACTCTGTTCCCTGAGGAAGTGTTACTTTGTTTTCTACAGTAGTAATCTTTGAAAGGCTAGTATATGTTGATTTTAGCACAGTTGATCTTAGCTCACATGACTTAATACATAATAGGCTTTCAGAAAATGACTTGTACTAGTTGATTTTTGAGTCAAGTGGTCTGTCCAGTAAGTTGGAGATCTTTCTTTTTCCCTCTGTTCCTTTTATTCTTCCTGGTTTGAGTACTTTTTTGGTTTCTGTGCTCTGCTACCACCTGTTGCTTCCCTATTGCATTATCTAGTTCTCCCTTGGCCGATTTTCACAGAACTCAACCATCCCTGCAAATTTCCCTTAAAGCCAAACCATACGAGGCTTCCAAAGCTTCCAGCCCTATGGAAGCAGCCATCCCATGCAAGAAACACAGGCAGCAAGCAGAGGCTGTGCCTGGTAGACTAAGGCAGATTTTCCCAGTACTAAGGATCTGAAGACCTGGGTCCATCCTGGTCCTACTCGATTCTTAATTTCTGTGACCTTGAGCAATTTACTCGAGCAATTTACTCATTACAGTTGCTTAAGTATGTACATGTACATATAATCTAAAATCTGTCCTATTTTTTAAAAAGGTCCTTTTTGTCATCCCTGTAAACAACCTATGATTAAAACACACACAAATAATCTAGGGAGATTATCTGCTTAAAGACATACTACTTGTGTTTAAGAGCCGTGACCATCTGAAAACAGGAAAACCAAATTTTAGTAAAATGGCCATATATTGGGACCACTAATTCTGTGTGAGATAATTAGCAAAAGAGGTTTATTTACCTTTGCAGTGTTTATGGGGGGAAAGGTATTTACCAAACAAATTACTACTGCTAACGTGATTATAAAGTTTAAGCCATTTTAGAGAGTAAATTTATTTCCTTAATATTTATCTTTTCTCTACATGTGGTTACCTATTAATTATACATTAATTGGTCCCCTGAAAACATTCTCATCCTATTCTTTGTTGGCTTATCTTTCCAGTCCTTGTTAATTCCCTCAATACTGGATAATAAACCTGCATTTCTCTTAAAACATATTTGTTCAGTTTTGCCATCAGCGTCTTACCCCAACACTTACCCCTATAGTCCAAATTAGTAATATTTTAATGTATTTGAAGAACAGTTGCTATAACTAAAAGTTTAACAGAGAAGTAAGTTTTAAAGTGGGATTTTTAATGACTTCTGATGTCCGTCACATGCAATGTGCAAGTCCCCAGTCATTTCAGTGCTCAACCATCAGTGCTTCTTCTTCCCACTTTAGTCCGCTATGTCAAAAAATTGCATCAAGCTTTTGTGTGAAGATCCCGTTTTCGCAGAATATATTAAGTGTATCCTAATGGATGAAAGAACTTTTTTAAACAACAACATTGTCTACACATTCATGACACATTTCCTTCTAAAGGTATGTGGTACTTTGGAAACTCAGTGTGTCACTTCTAATTAGTTGATGCTTGTGTTTTCATTATGTTGGTCTTTTGGAGATTTTTTTTTTTGATGTTTTTTTTTCAGGTTCAAAGTCAAGTGTTTTCTGAAGCGAACTGTGCCAATCTGATCAGCACCCTTATTACAAACTTGATAAATCAGTATCAGAACCTACAGTCTGATTTCACCAACCGAGTTGAAATTTCCAAAGCAAGTGCTTCTTTAAATGGGGTAAGAACTACACAAAGGAGGCGGCTTATACTTCAGAACTTTCCTTAAATCAGCTCTGTATCTGGTTATCATTTTACTGTAACTTTAATTTAGTATTCAAACCCTAAAAGTCACATATGAAAAAAACCAGACTTTAAAAAATGTGTTCGCCATCATGCCTTGTATGTAGCACACATTTTGTCACCTTAGAAGACAAAAGCTAATGTCATTAAATGCGAAGAGCAGTAAGACCACTAAGAGACATTCCCTTTATCTGTTTTTTGGAAACATTACTTGTGATGTTTCTAGCCCCTCATTAACTGAAATAATCAGATTAATGATCTAGTGATTATACAGGCAGTTAAAATTAGAGTTACTTGTTTTGTGTAGACTCCCAGGGCAGCCATGTCACAGAATGATGGAACACTCTGGAAATGTGCTGTTCAGCAGCAGTCTCCCAAATAACAAGATACTTAGCAGCCAGAACAGATTACAAAGCTGAGAGAGGAAGACGTATTTGTGACTTCTACCAGAATTTAGCTTGAGAAACTATAAAATTATACTAATGAAACCTAAATTTCTCATGATTCAAAGTTTGTTTTTAAGATTCCTATGTAAAGTCTGCCTAAGTTCTATTACTGATTCGTATATTTTTTCCTTTTTCATTTTCAGAAAACACTATTTGAGTCTTTGGTCTTACTTGTGGGCATAAAATAATGGTATTAGTGACTTAGAACTGATGAAATACAGTAGTATCATAATACCGGCTTTCTGGTTTTAGCATTCTTCTAAAAGTGCTGGAGAAAACAGGGAATTTCTGAAAGAGAAAACATCTGCATTTAACTGTAAACAATTGTGTTAAAATGTTGGCTTTAGGATTTGAAATGTTCCTATCTGGGTTTTTGTAGGACCTGAGGGCCCTTGCTTTGCTCCTGTCAGTACACACTCCCAAACAGTTAAACCCAGCTCTAATTCCAACTCTTCAAGAGCTTTTAAGCAAATGCAGGATGTGTCTGCAACAGAGAAACTCACTCCAAGAGCAAGAAGCCAAAGAAAGAAAAACTAAAGGTTAGCTTTATGGACTAATACCATTACCTTCAGCGTGGGGGACGGTAAGAATACACTTGGTATAACTGACTTTTTAACAGCTCTATGTTCAGTTGAACCTCCTAAATACAAATGCTAAAAACAAAATTGACTTCCCACAATTTTAATGGCCCCCTTCCAAGAAGTTTCAGTTTTGATGTTTGTTTTCACAGATGATGAAGGGGCAACTCCTGTTAAAAGGCGGCGTGTTAGCAGTGATGAGGAACACACTGTAGACAGCTGCATCAGCGACATGAAAACAGAAACCAGGGAGGTCCTGACCCCAACCAGCACTTCAGACAATGAAACAAGAGACTCCTCGATCATTGATCCAGGAACTGAGCAAGATCTTCCTTCTCCTGAAAATAGTTCTGTTAAAGAATACCGAATGGAAGTTCCATCTTCGTTTTCAGAAGACATGTCAAGTATCAGGTCACAGCATGCAGAGGAACAGTCCAACAATGGTAGATTTGAAGACTGTAAAGAATTTAAAGACCTCCACTGTTCCAAGGATTCTGCCCTAGCTGAGGAAGAATCCGAGTTCCCTTCTACTTCTATCTCTGCAGTTCTGTCTGACTTAGCTGACTTGAGAAGCTGTGATGGTCAAGCTTTGCCCTCCCAGGACCCTGAGGCTGCTTTATCACTCAGTTGTGGCCATTCCAGAGGACTCTTTAGTCACATGCAGCAACACGACATTTTAGATACCCTGTGTAGGACCATTGAATCTACAATCCATGTGGTCACAAGGATATCTGGCAAAGGAAACCAAGCTGCTTCTTGACATTAGGTGTAGCATGTCTGCTTTTAAGTCCCCCCTTCCCCCATGCTGTTTGTATAAGTTTTGCTTATGTTTTTGTGCTTCAGTTCGTCCAGTGCTCTCTGCTTGAATGGCAAGATAGATTTATAGGCTTAATTCTTGGTCAGGCAGAACTCCAGATGAAAAAACTTGCATCTTCAGTATACTTTCTAAAGGGCAATCAGATAATGGATATGTTTTATGTAATTAAAAGTTCACTGTAGTGGCTTTCATTTAATATGGCTGTCTGGGAGGAACAGGGTTCCCTGGCCCTGTACAATGTAATTTAAACTTACAGCATTTTTACTGTGTATAATATGGTGTCCTCTGTGCCAGTTTTGTACCTTATAATAGAGGCAGATTGCCTCCGATCGCTGTGGTTCTTATTATCAAAATTAAGTTTACTTGTATACGGAACAACCACAAGAAATTTGATTCTGTAAAGAATCCTCTTTAGCTGTGGCCTGGCAGTATATAAATGGTGCTTTATTTAACAGAATACCTGTGGAGGAAATAAAGCACACTTGATGTAAAAATAATTGTTTTATTTTTATTGACATGACTGATTGCTATTCTGTGCACTTAATTAAACTGATTGTGATGACTTTTCATTTGTTTACATACATTGCTTCAGTCTAATGAGAAAACCATGAATGGGGGAGCATTTCTTATCCATTATATTCTTTCATTAGAAGTGTTAATGGCAGTCCACAACAGTAACTTATCCCCACAGACTTCTCTGTCCTCTCCACCCCAAAGTGCATAATCACTGCAGGGCCAACCACAGACAGCAGGGAGAGGTGGGACAGAACACAGCCAACATGCCCTCACTCTGGAGCATGCTTTTGAATGCAACATGCCACTGTTTTACTACCTAAGAGATACGTACTTTAAAAACCCTAAAGTAAAATAAAGGACTAGTACCAACATGCCATTTATTTTTTGTTCTCTTGAACTAAAACTATAGCTGAAAGCTTGGGAAGTATCAGCTATCTGCACTCAGGGACTTGATCTATTGTCGGAGGAACATCTATGAAAGGTGAGGTTATTAATACTACTTTTGATTCAATGCAGAGTCTACTTATAGTGAAGAGTCAAACAATGCTTTCTATTCTGAATAGGTTCATGGATTTCATCCAATATAAAATAAATTAAGAAGAGGTTTTCTTTTTTAAAAGAAGGCAGGCTAGGGAAGAGGTAAACATTAAGACTTTTTCTGCTTACAAAAAGTAATGCCCTTATCAAATCTTAATTCAGCCATTTAGGGTGGTCAGCTGCAGTAAACCTTTTATTTCTTCAAAATGCTGCTTCTGCCAACAGAATTTCATGTTCTCTTCTTTACAGACAGGAACTCCTTTACAGTCCAATTGTAATTCCGTTTGCCCTAGAGTAGGCACAAAATTCAGTACAACTGTTGCATAGTGTTCTAGAAGAAAAACAGGAACTTTATTACTGCATCATGAAGAAAATTTACCCAGGAAGAAAAACCCAGCTTTATTGTTTTGGGACTTTTGTACTAATACCATACCTTCTGGCCAGTTCCTACATCTCCATTTCATGACAATCTTTTTATTTGTTAACTGAAAATAAAGAAATTCCACTGAAAATATCTTTCAGAATTTCCCAAAATACAACATACAAAAAAACCAAATCTTTTCAATAAAATCCCTAAGTACTAGAAGAATCAATGAACATATATATTCCCACCTTCCAGTTTATATGCCAGCACCACTGATAATTGTCTTTATTGCCAAACTAGCACAGTAATACTGGTATGACAAACAAAACTGATGTCGACGGTAACGCAACAAAGACCCTAGTGACTTAGTGCTAAAAACAGCATGGACAGAAAGCACGAGTAACCAAAGGAAGAGTTAGCCCCAGCTTTACTTCTGTAACCCTGAGGTTACTTACCAACTCCATATATTCACCAGTGATGTTCCCATCAAACATCTGGAATTTCCCTCCCTTTTCAACTTCTAATACAGCAGGAGATTTAGAAAATTTTTGCACCAACTAACCAAAACATAAAATAGACAGACATGTTATTCCACTACGTTATCACTTTTTTAATCTAAATATAAAAATTACGATGATTTAGGTTTTTTAAAATCCTGAACATACAGCTTTTACTTACAGAAAATAAAACAAAAGCTTTCTCTTCCCAGAGGGAGAAAACTCAATATATCCCCTAAATGCTGACACAGTCCCAAAAAATGCCCATCTTTCCCCCCTCAATATTCAGAAGCCATCCTCACAAATGTTCCCATCACCGCCATCCCAGACCCCTTCAATCAAAAACTAGCTCCTGTTGTTTGTGGCCTATTTTCCCCCAATGTCAGCATTTAAGCTATTAGCTTAAGGAGTTACTTACATCTTTCACAGTGAAGATACTGTACAGCTGCTCTACAGGTGTGTCAAACAGTTCCATCATGTGCAGAGCCACAGTGGGAATCTTTACACCCAGTGCTACTGGAGATGAGGCCTGAACCTCGAGGAGAGGTTCCAGAGGATAATTAGCACACCAAGAGATAAAGCTGCTTGGATTTAAAAAGTCAGTCTTCTCGATAAAACACCAAAATGTCCCAAGTTCCATACTACCCACCCATTTGAGACGCATGAAAGCCTTTTTAGTACCACCAATCCTGGTCTTTACTTGAGAAACAGAGCTCATTCCTATGAGCTCCTTAGCTCTGTTCCATTCCCCAGGCTATCACTGAATATCCCTAATCCTAGTTAAACATGTAAATATGGCCCTGAGAACATAAAGGTGAGCAGATGAAAGACAACTGCACTTACGGCTAAAGGGTATCAATTACACACAAACGCCTGTTCCTCAATTCCAAGCACAGGATCTAAAATCTCCCAATAAATCTCCCAAATCAGGAAAGAAGGTTCTTCCATTTTGGTATGTGAACCTCAAAGTCACCTGAATTTGTAATCTGTTGCCTACCAAAGAACATAGCCTTTTGAACAGTCTTGAATTAAGTGTTTATCCCACAAAAAGGCCTATTCATACATCCTTCTCCATCAAGAATGAAAAGTCTCATCATTTCCACAACAAAATGGTTGATCTTAAAAATTTTGACTCACAGGGAACCCAAAGGTGGATTACAATGCCCTCCTCACTATGCTTCACCGTTCTCCATCATCAAGACTATTTGGAGCTCTGACTCATACTCATTAAGCACTTCCTTTTCCTCCTTTCTACAATTTTGGCCACCAAAGGTCATACCTGCGAGGTATTCTCACTCAGTTTCCTTTTAACAGTCAATTCTTGGGTTGTCATAGCTTTCGTTGGTAAAATCATTCCCATTGTAAATTCTATAAAGAAATGTGGGAAATGGTTTTAATAAAGACCTTTTTCCTTTTAAGCACAAAGACTAAGGTAGAAAACCCAAAATAGCATATAAGAAAATAAAAGAACAGACTTTTGTAAAAAGAATTCCTATAGGATTTTGAAAATTTCAAGACCATTTCATGTTTTTAACATATAAAACTACTGATTAACATGAGTTCCACAAATGCCTTTTATTCTTTTTTCAAATGCCTCACTTTTATCAAGTTCTTGATAAAACAGCAAAATTTGCAAAAGTTCTTTTCCAAATAGCTAAGTTTCATATAATTAACTACTAATAGCTTTGTGGCTCTCACCTACTGTCAAAACAGACACTTTCTCATGCCTTCACCACCATCTCACAAAGCTTGTCCTCACAGTATTCAAGCTTGTGAGCCACATGTGCGATCTTGTGGGAAGAGTGACAACCCCAGCCCATCTATGCCAATAACCAGATACTCAGGTAGCAGGGTCCAAGCATGAGGTGCAGAGATACAGGCCCTGCTGGCCATCTGCCTGGCTGATAACTTCTAATTGAAAAGGGAAGAGGACAATAACCTCACTTCCATGCAGTGTAGAGATTATCTAGGTAATCTCAACTACACCTATAACACCTGCAGTCACTTTCATTCATTCATTCATTCATTCAACAAAGATTTATTAAGCACCTACTATGTGCCAGGCATTGTGCTAGATGCTGGAGATACAGCAGTGAACAAGACAGACACCTTCCATGCCCTCATGGAGCTTACAGTCTAGCAGGGAAACAGACATTAAACAAGTAATTACACAAATAACTGATTAAATAATTTTCATTCCAGAAAACTACTATTAACAGTTCTGTAGGCAAAATGGTTCACACTGTGTACAATACTGATAATCACTAATTATGGTCTTACCCATGACTTCCTCTCAACTTCCAGACTACAAATTATTCTGCAGTATAGAGAATTGCTTCTGGAGCCTTAGACATCCCTAATCTGGGAATTCAGACCACAGGGCAGCAGATAACTTGGGTAAATAGAAAAGGGACCCTCTGGTTCACAAGGGATGCCTTCTTTACCCGTCTTAAGTGCCTTCAGGTAATCTCCAAGGGCCTCCCTGACCTTGGCGGTGCCTGCAGTTTTCATAAGATCCTTCAGTATATCCCCATCTCCTTTCTTTTTACTCACGTTCACCTACAAATCAGAAAAATACAAACCTAAGAAAAATCTGGTTTGCTGTATTCTTACAACGGTAGGCCATCCGGATGAGAGAACTGTGATGAGGGGAGGGGAAGAAGTGGAGATGAGAGAGGTGACAGGTTTCCTCACACAGTGGGGAGGATGTCACCCAGGGTCCACAGAGGGGTCAGTTGCCACATCTTGAATGGACGTCACAGAATGTGAACCCTTCATTTGCATACAAAACTGTGTATGTGAATTATATTGCTGATGTGGCCCATGGCTTTTATCGGGATCTAGAAATGCGCTGTCCAGTAGCCACTACCGTACATCTGAGCACTTCAAATGTCACTGGTCTGAACTGAGATATGCTGTAAGTGTAAAATTTAATACACATCAGACTCTGAAAACTTAGTACAAAAAAACGTAAAATATCTCATTAATTTTTATATTACATGCTATTTTTATATACAGGGTTAAATAAAATGTTATTAAAATTAATTTGACCTGTTTAACTTTTTTCCCCCAAAAGATGGGGTCTTGCTATGTTGCCAAGGATGTACCTGAATTCCTAAGCTCAAGCAATCCTCCTGCCTCAGCCTCCCGAGTGGCTGTGACTACAGGCACGCACCACTACACTGATTTTAACTTTTATTGATATGGCTACTAGAAAAATTAAAATTGCACACATGGCTTGCACTACATTTATATAGAACAGCACTGGTCTAGAACCCTGAAGCCACTGTAATTAGGTAAATAAGTTCCCAAGTAACCTGTCCTCGAGCTACAATTTTTGGCAGGGAGAACTGGGAACGGGAGAGGAAGAGCAGAAGACAGAGAGGCAGAGGGAAGGAAGAAGAGAAGGGAGCATCAGAGGGACCTGGGGATGCCTCTGTCCCAGTCTCAGAAGGAAAAGGGGTGTTGATTTGAAATCATTTAGTGTCCGGATGATTCAGCTGAGCTGGACCTGATCCCAGGCCACAGTTCGAATCCAAGGAGTTTGTTCTGTAATGCTACTGAGGGATGAAATCTAAAAAACCAGTTTAACATGCTGTGGAAAGCTGCTCAGCTGACGGAGGTAAAGACAGCAAAGTGAAATGCCAGTCCCCGAGAACAGCTACTGTACAGCTGAAGATCCGTCTGAGTCCCCACCTTCCTGGCATTTTATAACTTTCACTAAAGGCGTGTCACAAGACGTGCTGCTCAGTACGATTTAGTTCTATCACTGAAAAGCCTTCTTCACATTAAATCCATTCACAAATCAAAAAAGACCCTTTGTCAGACTATCTTAGTTTGGAAAATACAGCAGCTGTACAAACGATCCCACCCTCAGAACCCGGCTTTCAGCGTGGTTAGAGGGCGCTAACTGCAAGCCAGGTAGGGGAGTCACTCCAGGATCTATCCCCTCAAGAGAACCAGGAGAGCTGGTCGAAAGCGACACATACTAACCAGGCAGTTTACGAAAAACCCTTGAGACATAACCTAGGGCAATCACAGCTAAAGGCTGAGAATTTTCACTATTAAAGGGAAACAGCAAAGGTGCAAGGGAAGAGAAATAAACACATTCACCAAGCCATGCAAGCTGCTAAGCGCTTTACCGTATGTACACTGTCACGTTTAGCCTGGTAACACCCCTGAAAGGCGGGGTGGCTTTGGAGGGTGCGCGCCTCACCCTTTGTCGTCACCATTCCAGCTCCACATGCCATGCTGCCCGCACAGAAAAGCAATCCTCACGCGCAAGCACCCCGCAACTGACCAAGGCTACCACACCGGAACCGCACAGGCTGATAAACATTTTTTCAAATGCACAACGTCTACAGCAGAAGCTTGAATGGTAAAAAAGAACGAAACTCCAGCAGATACCTCAGTGTCATCTACTTCATTTTCCTCAGAAAGACTGGGTATTTCAATCAATCCCTTGTGCTTCACGCCAGATTCTTTAATGATACCTAAAATGAACACAGTGAGTTCTTCAATTAAAAAGTAATGACTGGTTTTCTGCAAAACTGCCCCACCTGACAGCCCACGCTCATCCCTTACCAGGTGCCACTACTCGACCCTGCCCTGCGCCCCCATGGCAGGTGGGCCCTGGCCATCGAGAGCCCGTGTGAATCCAGCACCAGCATCCTAAGGGAGGCCTGGGGTCTGTAACCCATGTTTCCCTTCCTGTCCCGCAGCTTTCTCCGCCTGGTCAAAGCAGGACAAAGGGCTATCCTGAGGGGGAGAAGAAATCACAAAAGGGCTGGGAGTACAGAAGGGACAGTGAGTTCAGGTCATGGAGAGACTGAGGGGAGGGGGCTGTGGCTGTGGAGGTCCCATGTGGACTCCATGCAGCTGGATTTCTTTCAGGACTAGAGTGTTGGCTCCTCCCTGACGGGTCCCACCAGCCACCTCTGGGACTGGATGCTGGAAGAGCCCTGGCGGCCTGCCTGGCAGTGGCTGGGTCTTATCTTGCAAAGCGGCTGGTTGCTGCTTTGGGCCAAAGATGACAGAAGAGACACAGGCCATAAGGTTCCCCAGGGCCCGACAGCACTGTCTTGGGGAAGGGTAGGGAACCAGCCCTCAGGGGTGCCACTGAGGGCAAACTCCCAGCCGGAGGGTCCTGTTCCTAGGGGGGAAAGGACTGCTTTCCACGCTTGCTGAACACCTCCCTGGGCTATGGCTGGGCTCATGCTAGCAAGGGAGCCACGAGGGCAGAGGCTCAAGGACAGCCAATTGGACTGTTCTCTAACACAAACTCTCAAGAAAAGACCTGAACTCTGGGCTGAGGCCCAAACCTTTACACAGCACAACGCTCCAGGACCAGATCTCTCCCTCTCCTACTCCTCCTCTCCGTGTCTCCACACCCTTGCTTATGCAGCAAGTATTTACTGAGCGTGTACTGTCTGCCCGGCCAGGAACTAGGCACCACCAGAGAATTTAACCAAAATACTCAAGAAGTGGAAACAGCCAAAATGCCCATGGAAAAGCAAAATGTGGTATACCCATACGGTGGAACATCGGTCAGCTATAAAAAGGAATGAAGCACCGAAACATACTGTATGATTCCATTTACATGAAATGTCCAGAGGCAAATCCACACAGTCAGAAAGTAGATTAATGAGTGCCAGGGGCCTGCGGAAGAGGGAAATGGGGAGTGACTGCTAACGGTACAGGATTTCTTTCTGGAGTGATGACTATACAACTTTGTGAATATACTGCAAAACACTGAATTATACACTTTAAATGGATGAACTGTAGGATATGTGAATTATATCTCAATAGAGCTGTTCTTTTGTTAAATCCCTGCCCTGGTAAAACTGGGGATGAGGAGGGACCAGGACAGTAAGTGCAATGTTTACGTAAGCACACAGTATACCCAGTGTCAGTGATTTGGGGAAAAAGCAGGGAAGGGGGACAGTACGGGGGTCCGCAACGTTTCTAGGATGGAGAAAGACAAGACCTGAAAGAGGCAGGCAGCTGTTTGGGGAAGAGCACTCCAGGCAGCAACTCAGGCCCAGCGGACAGCAATGAGCTCTCCACAGCTGAGTGCTGGGAGGAAGGAGCACCGCCAAGTGTGGCGAGAGCACTGGGAACTACTAACACCAATTCAGGGGCCAGTCAGCTCCGGGCCCACAGCAGGAGTTCTAAAAATATTCACTGAATGAATGCGGAACGAACTGACTCTGCTCCAAGGCTGCCTCCAGCCCCACTGGTCCCCCAGGCCCCTGTTACCTTTCCAGCCCAGTCTGATGTTCCACTCATAGAAGAAAATCAGCTTTCCCTTGCGGCTGCTGCAGGAAGCCTCACCTTCCATCTGCTTCAGCTCACTGATCTCGCAGCGGCCGGCCTCGTTCTCCACAGCAATGCCCACCAGGAGCTCCTGGAGCTTCCCTTTGGACCAGCTGGTGGCATCCCGCTCTGTCCTGCCGGGACAGAAGGGCACAGTGGTGAATGGAGGCCCCAGCTGGTATCCACCTGCCAGTCTGGGAGCCGGGGTGATGTCCAGGCAGAGCCCAGCCCAGATCAACCTGGGAGACCTGTCACCCTCCAACTTACAAATGTGCTTCTCATACCCGCTTTCTACCACATATCTTTTAACCCTTCTGCTCTGTTCCTTAAAATAGTATCATCCACTGCGTAAAGCAGTATTTTGTTTTGAAAACCCTGGCTTATCCTGGGGAGGAGGGTCTAGCAATCTCACCCATTGGAAATTAATGGGCAAAGCCTGAGCCAGATGAAAAGGTAGTAGTAACTGAAATAATTAGAATCACAATACTATTAGGTGTTTTCACACGTACATTATCTCATGCAATCTTCCTAAAATAATAAGCCCATCTTAGGAAAGAGAAAAGAGCTGAGAGCAGTGAGTGGCAGGTCCATGGTACTGGAGCTAGGAAACCAGAGCTCAGCTCCTGGGAGGCCCAGGCCTCTTCCAGCCCAGCCCAGTCATGCCCCTCACGCCTCCCCGGCTGACGCTCTGCTCTGCCCTGGGGACCTGCCTCAGCACTGCCTCCAAGGCCTGCAGGTGCCAGAGCCCTGAGGGCCAGACGGGCAGGGCAGAGGACTTCCCTTCCCGAAGCCCTGCCAGAGCCCGAGAGAGGGAGGCAGACACCACCCCACTCCAGATGAGAAAGAGGAGGACGCGTAACTTGTTCAAACTCACAGAAGGTCCAGCTCGCGGGAGGCCCATCGAACTAGGTGCAAAGTTGAGATACAAATTCCTAATCTTTCCACTACAGACCAAGACTTCCCCCCCACCCCACACACTCTCTCTGGCTCCCTTTGAACTCCCAGAAACATCAAGAGAATTGAGAATGGGAGAGGGAGGGAAGACCCTAAGGCCACACACACTGCCAAAGTTGCAACGGCATGCCAGGAGTCATTCGTGGGGCCCCGCTCAACCTCCCAAAGAGGAAACTGAAGCCTCGAGAGCCCGGGCAAGGGCGCAGAGACGCCACGGAACCCCCTCCAGCCGCCAGGGGAGGGCCGCGGAGTCCCCCGCGCCTGTGCAGCCCCCGCCCCGCCCAGGGAGCGCCCCCCGGGCCCGTCCGTGGGCCCCACGCTACCGGGCGCCGGAGGGAGGAGGCCAGCGAGCCGCGCATCCCCGCCCGGCCGCACCAGTGCCAGTTGTTCACGTTGGTGCCGTCCGCCCGCTCCTCCACGATCCAGCGCGGGTCTCCCTGGCCCCACTTGGCCATGGCTGCGCGGGCGGAGAACAAGGAAGAGCCGCGGCCACGGCGGCTGCGGCTCCCTCGCCAGCGTTTCCAGCACCCAGAAAGTGCCAGAAGTCCCCGCCCCGGGCTCCGCCCCTCTCGCTCGGCCGCGCAACGCCAGGAGGGGCCGCGGCCGGGGCCGAGAGGCGGGGTGGGCGGGGCCGGGAGGAGGGGAGAGGGAAGGTCGGGACGAGGAGGAGGAAGATGAGGGAGAGGGGAAGGAGGATCAGGAGGAGGGGTACGGCGACGGGGAGGAGGAGGATGGGAGCCGCGCTGCGCGCCTCTCAAATACAGCGGCGATGGGGAGCCTGCAAAAGGCCCGGACATCCCCCAAGGATTCATTACTGTCACTGCAATTACCGTGTTGGATGCTGGGAAGCAGGGCGGCGGCGAGTGAGGGCCGCCCGAGGGCTGCACTGGCGATGCACACAGAAAGCGGCTTGGCCTCTGGCGGCGCAGCCTGTCCTTACTGGCGCTCGAGGCTGCGACCTGGAACACCCGGGTCCGGCGCGGCCCGCGTGCGACGGGCTCTCCGCGGTGCGCTCTCCCTGCACGCCGCTGTCGGGTTTTGTCCCCGATTATCAGGCAGAGTTGGTGCACTGTGGCCCTCCCCTGGACGCCAAGTCTCTCGCCTTTCCAGCACATGGTCGAGGAGCACGAGCTTCCAAGGCCCCCCGGACAGTTCAGGAATATTTACGTTTTATTTATGCAATAATCCTGTAGAGATAACGAAAGAATGTGATTGCAAGCTTCATGCACTTCACAGTAATTAAGTGGGCATGGATAATTCCTTCCATGAGTTTTCGGCTTCTAGGAAATCTTTGCACCAACCATTTGGAAAATGGTACTGATGTGCACATGGATATTTTATTCAGTAGAAGAAATGGGTTGGAGCCAGACCATGGCAGGGTGGACATACCTGGTGTTTCTCTTCCCCTGGGCTGTCCTGTCCTGTGCCTGTGGTCTGTGCTCATGTATGAAATAAACTAACGGGTGGGGGACATTTTCTCCATTTGCCTGCTGGAGCTACCTTCCAACATTATCTTCCAAAAAGCTACAACAGTTTAGGTAAACAGACGGCTTCAAATTGTTTTGACCCCAAAACAAAATGACATTTTGATTTCACCTTTCACACTTTGCTTCACCAAAGGATGGGCAAGTAATACAGATGAACAACTAATAATTCCGAGAACTGGAATGGCAACTAGTGGGTACCATTTTCTTGTGGATTGGCTGTTCACCTTTTATCCAATTCATAAACAATATTACAGATACAACATTACATGGCAAGATTTAGATATGTATAATTTGAACCTGGCAGAAAATAAGATTTACCAGAAAACTTACAAAGGCAGAAGCTATAGTCACTAAAATGTTACGTGAACAAAAAAAAAAAAAAAATTTGTAATATTTACACAAAAAATTGATCCCAATGGAAATAGTTCATTAAAATGTAAATGGAAAGGTCTTCTATGTAGATAATTGATCATAAATTAGCCTAAAAGAATTTGATCCAGAGAGTACTTTCACAATGGAACTCTTCAGAATTAATATAATTTTTATTAAAATATTTGTCTTTCGCGGGACACAGTGGCTCACGGCCGTAATCTCAGCAACTCAGGAGGCTGAGGCAGGAGGATCACTTGAGCCCAGGAGCTCCAGGCTGCAGTGAGCTGTGATCGCACCACTGCACTCCAGCCTGGGCAGCAGAGTGAGACCCTGTCTCTAAAAGAAAAAGAAAACAACAGCAAAAAAGTCTTTAAAACTGAGGCAATGGGTAAAAGATTGTTGGGGAAGAAGGTATACACACAATATCCTCAGTTTACTTACTAATTACAAAAGCAAAAAGTTACCTTTACAATGGAGAAATCTATCGACCTTAACCAAATGCTCAAACCTAGCATTACCAATAATGGAGGAAACTGAAGATGCACCATCACCTACGTAGTATTCCTGCCAAAAATGCTTCATCTGAATCTAATCATGGAAAAGGGACATTTTGCAAAATGGGTTTGGCCTGGACTCTTTAAACATAAACATGTCACGAATGCCAAAAGAAGACTTAGATGTGACAACTATAATAAATCAATGCATGATCCTAGATTAGCTCCTGGATCCAACACAAACAGTTTAAAAAGACATAATTGGGGGATTTTAAATTGCATTTCAGACTGCATATTAGAAAATATTTTATCAATGTTAAATTTTCTGATGATTGTATTCTTCTTCTTTGGAGACACATGCTGAAAGTGTGTGAGTAAAGCATCATGATGTCTGTAATTAACTAGTTCAGGGGGAAAAATAGAAAAAGGCAAGTGTGGCAAATGTTGACACCTGGTGACTCTTGGTGAAGAGTATCTGAGAGTTCATTGCACTATTCTTGCAACTCTTGTAAGTTTGAAATTTTTTTCAAAATAAAAATTTCGGTGCGGCAGGGGATTCCATCAAAACATCCTTAGAGTCAGAGCAGTGGGCTCTACCCCTCTGTAAACTTATAGCACATTTATTGAACATCTACTGAGTGTCCAGCTCTGCTCTCTGCTGGAGTGACTATAAAAATTAGCTAGACACAGGGCTCAGGGGCTGTCGAGGGGCCTGTATGAGTTCGTCTTCCTGGTATGTGCAGAGCACCCTGGGGATCCAGAGGAAAAGCCGTTTGATTCTATGGGGGTGGGGGATGGGAGGTTGTTGTGCTCCTGTAGTTCTGTTCCTCAGAGGAGTATTGAAAAGTGAGTAGGACTCTTGGCTTTAACAGAGGAATGGGAACGCCAGACAGAGAGAACAGCAAGTGCCCAGGCTGGGAAGCGTGGAGGAGCACATCGCAGACAGTGGCTGTACCAGAGTGGCAGTGACAGCAGCAGCAACAGCAGGGAGGCTGCAAGGGGCAAGTTGCCTAGTTGCCCAGCGCCTGGTTTGCCTTCGCCCTGCTGAGGAGCTGGGACTTGGCCTTCCAGGCAATGGGGAACCACTGATGTGACCTAAATGCAGCAGTGACACGATCAGACGTGCTCTAGAAAAATCATCCTTATGAACATTTGAACAACAGACAAGAGGACTGGGACAAAACCCAAAGGGAAGGAGACTTGGCAGGGTGGAGAGGGGTGACAGATACGAGAGTGGACCAGATATCGGGGTGTAGTAGAAGGAGAAACTTTGCTTCAGCGACTGGGACTTTCAGCTTGGCTAGTCAGCATCCCCTGGGGAGACTAGGATGGGAAGAGGCTGGGAGAGGGCTTAGGTCCCAACTCCGGAAAACGGAAAACGCCGGCAAGCGAGGGGCAGGCAGAGAAGACAGGGCCTGCAAGGGCGTCTCACCGGGCGAGCAGGGGCACGATGGAGGGAGAGGGCAGGGGCGTCAAAGGTGGGAAAGCACGCAGAGTATGATGGAGACATGTTTTTCATTGGATGTGAGAACAAGGGGGTCATTGGGCCCTTTGCAGAGAGCAGTTTCAGTGAACAGTGGGGGCAGGAGCCAGGTCACAGTAGAGGAATGAATGGGAGGTGAGAAGGTAGAGACTGGGCTTTCAAAATGTTTGACAAGGGTGGGCAAGACAAATGGACAGTAGCAAGATGGGGATATGGGATGGGAGATGTTGCCTCTTCCCTTTAAATGGGGGAGATCAGCGGCAGAAAAGAGGGCCGGGTGGTGGAGCAGAGTCCCAGAAGCAATGGAAAGGGATGGGTCCCAGGATCAGCCTGCACTAGGAAGACCCAAGGAAGAGGATAAGAATGGATGTTTCTCCTCTCTCTCTCTCTTTCTCTCTCTCTTGTTTTTTTACCAGACAGGGCGTTGCTCTGTGGCCTGGGCTAGAGTGCGGTGGCACGATCATAGCTCATAGCAACCTCGAACTCCTGGCATCTGGGCTCAAGCAGTCCCCCTGCCTCAGCCTCCTGAGTAGCTAGGACTTTAGGCACACACCACCATGCTTGGCTAATTTTTTTAAATTTTTTTATAGAGACACCACGATATGTTGCCCAGGCTGGTCTCGAACTCCTGGGCTAAAGCGATCCTCCCGCCTTGGCTTCCCAAAATGCTGGGATTGCAGGTGTGAGCCACCGTACCTGGCCAAGAATGGATGTTTCTGTACCACCCTTGGTTTTGATCAGTTTGATATGGGGGAAGGGGAAGAGGAGGCAAGTAAGGTGGCAAGTTGGACAGTAGCTTAGGTGGTAGCTCACCTGCAGCAAAGCAACGGTGATAACACCTGTCAAAGCTTTGGGGGAAGAAATACAAAATACTCTAAGTATGTCTTTTTTCCCATAACCAACCTGTGCTAGGGTAAACCCGAATTGTTTTCACCTTTTCTAAACACAACTAACTCCACCACACTTTCTCCATCTCTAGAGACAGGTCAAGAGGTGTCTATCCAGGGTTGGCTCCTATTAGCAAAGCACTAGAGAATCCCAGGGCTTGGAGGCAAGGTTCACATCACAATAGACCTATGAGCTGCTAAGGTTCTGCTTTGGGGGAAGTCATTTTATAATTCTGATGCCTATGCCTCAGTTCAATTTAATTCCATTAATATTTATTGAGCTACCAAAATGCACATCTGGCCCAAGAGCACTATCACTATAGTACATAGCGTGTTGTGTGGCCTTTGCTCTCAAGCTCTGTTATCTTCACTGGCCTGCTCACCTTGAGAGAAGGTGCTCTTCCTCCTCTTCCTCCCCTTTATTCTGATGCCAGAGCCGTACCGAGCACACAGAGGGCACCCAGGAAATCTTTGTTTGGATGACTGGATGAATAAAGGAATGAGTATTTCTCAAACTTATGTGTGTTCCAATCTGTTAATAGGCTGTAAGATCAATGTAGAAGGTTTCAGCCATCATTTTTATCTTAATGAAATAGAATAGGACAGAGTTTAAATGATCAGAGTGATTACTTATGGTAGAAGTAAACGTTTCTTAAATCACTGGCTGTGTGTGAAGGAGTGAGGGCGGTGTTATGGGTAAATTATGGTTTTTAAAGTTTGAAAGCCAGTGCTGTAGCAAACACAAAGATAAATACAATAGCTTACAACT